ATGTTTATGCCGTATCTCAAATTCTTTAATCTAATAAGCCTATCAATAAATGAAAGAAGATTAGTCATACAAAGTTAGTTTGAAAGGATCTTGAAGACAGTGAGCTCAAATTCTTCAATTTATGGATGAGGGAATTTTAGTAAAAAATGTGGCACACCTTACTGGAGATTAGACCTGGTACTGAAATGCCAGCTTCCTAATTGCCAGACCATTGTGTTCCTTCCCGTGTTCCAAGCTGCCTCTGTCAAAAACCTGCAGAAGATTCGACTCCTATATTTCGGGAATCTATCCTTGTGTACTGTACTCCCCCATCATTGCAAAGTTCTTATGTGTCCCTAATCTGAAATATTTCTCCTACATTTGAAGGTTATTCCCCATCATTCTTTCCTAAAGAATTGATGAAATTTCTCAGCTCATGGCTTTAGCAATACAAACAAATTCATATACTTGAAAATTACCAGTATGTTGCTTTTATGTCATAAACCATGGAATTAAAGTAGAAGGGCCCTCAAAAAGTCTTGTACTCTAATCCTAAGCCTGTCAAGAGAAGTACAGTGAAATGTGCATACCTTCTATGTTGGAAGGGTGGTAACAGGGACAGTTCATCTGTGGCAGTGGTCGGTATGGAAGAAAAGTATTTCTGGTAGCAGTGGTTTCAGAAACTGGTGAAAGTGATACGCTGAATAATACCATTAAGGATGGAGGGAAGGGTTGAAATGGAGGCTGGGTGTGGTGGCAATTGCCCTCTAGGTTAATATTCTCATAGCTAGCTCCTATAAAAGGCCAGTTATTTAAATATCCAATCACCTTCTGACTGAACTTTTGTGTATATTTCTATATTAGTGAGAAAACTAGATATTACACTAAAAATAGCTAGACACATGCTATTTTGGAGGAGTGAATCAGCATATCAGATAGGAGCAAGAGAAATATATTGGTAGATCAATGTCAATATTGATCTGATTTTCTTAGTCACTTAGTCACTTAGAAGACCAGGAGTCCAAATGACTAATTTTTCTTAGCTCTAACCTTTAACCCTATTTAATCATCTTAACTCTCCAGTTTTAAATTTTACACAGTTTTAAGATCCAGATGGACAAAAATATCAAAACCCAAAAGGAATTGAGTCTTCCTTTCCTTCTGATTGGCAGTGAAAATAACTGACAAATAGATGTCACTTCCTCTGTCATGGTTCTGGATAGCTTAGTGAGAAATGAAAACCACCTGTCAGGAAGGATGTAAAGCAGATACTTTCTCAAGGGTAAAAGCCTGAAGTATAAAACCTCAAACATCCATTTAAATTCCTCAAATCTTTGAACATTCTAACAGGGCTTTGGTTAATTTCTCAAATAAACATTCAAGAAGAAGAACTTTATTTTGCAACACACCATTGCAGGGGTACTGAGAATAAAGTTTAGAATATGGCATTTGCAAGATCAAAAGAAATACTGTGGAACTACAAATGTTATTCCTTTGCCCAGCTCTTTTAGCTCATGTTTCAATCTATTAAAATAACCAGTCCTAACATTCAAGGATAGGGTAATATGGTATTTCATTGACATTTTTAATTTAAAACCATTTTCATCTTGCCCAGTTCCTCCTCACCAGGCATATACAACTATAAAGAGATGCTTACGGTATAGAAATTCACACATATACGTATGATATATTATAAATATAACTAAACAACAATATTATTATAATTTTAGATATTTAGCCATCAAGATATTAAAGGTACAGGAAAATATGAAATGTATTCTTCAAATTCTTTAGTTTGCCAAAATTCCACTTATGTATTCTTAGACAATATAATCTTGCAAGAAGGCAGGCAGAATAAAGAGAGAACCTTATCAAAATTCAGTGGTTTTGTTTGTAGACTGGATTCTCTTACTGGGCTGAGAAAACATTAAACACAAACTGGGATAAATTCCTAAAAAGCATCACCAAAATATTCATTAAAATTCAGGATAAACATAATTCTATTCTGACAGCCTTGAGTCCCAATTCTAGAGATGACAAAAGCTGGAAGATGTGTACAATTTTCCTTCAGTTCAATTCAATTCAACAAGTGCCAATTAAGTACCTGCTGTAAGCAAGCATATACAAAGAGAAAAACAAAATTGCTTCTGCATTTTTTTTTTGGCTCAGTTTAATACTTTTAGTGGGTATAGGGGAGGGGATGGGGTCATACATTTGTTTTCTCAGCAGTATAATCCCAATGTGTGTGTGTGTGTGTGTGTGTGTGTGTGTGTGTGTGTGTGTATCTATCTATCCATCCATATGGAGAGAGAGAGACAGAGACAGAAACAGAGACAGAGAAACAGAGAGATAGAGACAGAGAGAAACAGAGATAAAGACAGAGAAAGAGAGAGAGAGAGAGAGAGAGAGAGAGAGAGATATGAATGAATGGCTATCTATCTATATCCCATGAAAAGAAAGAAACCATTGTAAACAAAGTACAGCTCTATCATGGATATATTTATTGAACATTGACAGGGAAGACATAGGAAACATATACCAGCCCAATTAGAGACAAAATTCCTGGAAAGCAGGTAATAGTGCTCATCTATAAAGGATGTCTCAGGCATTGACAACCAAGTCATTGCAGACTTCTCCTTGTAGTCCATCAGAAGTGTCTGAATATGTCTTTGAACTTATTCTCACTATTCCCCAAACAAGTATTAAAACACCTGAGTACTTATTTTTTTAAAACCAAGCCTACTGAATGTGTCTTGGTATCCAGTATCAAAGTCAGGTGGCAGGGGCAGAATGAGTGTAAGTGGGAATATTTTGTACTCATTCATTTTACTCTGAGCAGTTGTAATGGCCTATTTCAGATCACACTTGCTAGAAGCCCTGACAACACAACAGGATTTTCAGCAGGAAGGAGACATTGAAAATTATACTGTATTGTTTCAACATGTTATGTAAATGGTTCCATTCTAGAAAAACACGTGGCCACATCTAAGAAGGGCAAACTGTTCCTGATTCATTTGGATTCCTAATCGACTGCCTATAGGGCCTACTCATCAGAGATGCAGTGGTTAGCGAGTACTATTACAAATTTATGACTCTAGTTGTTTTGTATGTGTACGGTTTTGTTTTTTGTTTTTTGTTTTTTTTGCAACTGATGTAAAACCTTGCCAAAAGATTATTTTTTTAATTTTATTTTTTTTAATATTATCTTCAGGTCTCCTATATTGGTATATAAAAAAGGAATGGATTACTCAGAGTAAAAATATTTGCAGTTTTGCTTTGATTTGTGATTTCCTTTATGTAGAAACAAAAGAAAAGGATGTGTTATAAATGTAGACAGGCTGCTTGGTTCCCTTGTAAGAGAATTTTGATTTTTAGTTTTTTTTTTAAATCTCTTTTCTACAAGACATATATAGCACCTATTGCCATGGCAACAACTGGCTTAGCACAACACTGTAGTGTTGGGTGTGTGTGTTTTTCTTCTTAATTCATTTTCAAAAACTAGACCTCATTCCTGCCAAGTACAGAAATACGGATAACACCATTATATGCTGGGATGTTGAGGGTTACTGGAGGTTGTTTTTTAACCAGTTTTTAGAGTTCTCTGACTCAGGCCCAGAAGATGACTGGGTCAAAGAAGATGGACACATGTGACAAAGATGTAGGGTCTATTCAAATGGACAAACTTCAGAGTCTGGCACGACAAAACCCTGAATTGTCCTGGAAGGCATGGTTCTCTCTTTGGATGCAAGCACTCACTCTCTTCTCCCTCTCTAGCTTTTATATAGAAGGACCCTCACTCCCAGAAGTTGCGTATTTTGCCAATCTTGAAATGGTCCTTTCAGATCCAGAAGGTTCTCCCACAGGGTCAAAGGCAGTACAGGATGAGAGGTCTGTCAGAAGAACAACTTCCTTAGAACTTTTGCTGAAGCAATGGGTCCAGCTAAAGCCTTCCCCAACTGACCGTAGTCTACCCAGGGTCAGCTAGGTGGTTCAGTAGACGAAGCACTGGGTTTAGAGTCAGGAAGCTTGGAATTCAAACTCAGCCTCAGACACTTAATAGCTGTGTGACCCTGGGCAAGTTTCTTAACTCCTTTTTGCCTCAGTTCTGTATCAGTAAAATGGGAACACACTGGAGAAGGAAAATTACATACTCCAGTGCCTTTGCCAAGAAAACCCCCTGGACAAAGTCTATTTGGTCACATAGAGTTGGACGTGACTGAACAACATCAGCGACCCTACCCAAATGGCCTCAGGATTCTGTTTAATTCTGGATCATGTACTATCATGTTTGCCTTAACCTGTGACCTCTTCAATGTCTTACAAATCTATCCTGTCCTGACTGGAGCTAACCAGACAAATGGGACAAAGTGAGGAAAGATTCTATAGCTTTTAACCATTAGCTGATATTCACATCTGGAAGTGACCTTAGTTGTCTTCGTGTCCAACCCCTTCATTATGCAGATTAAGAACCCAAAGACAAGGGAGGCTGAGTGATTTATCCAATGTCACAAAGAAATATCAGGGCAAGGACTCAAACCCAGGTCTTCTGAACCCAAGTACAAGTTCTATCTATTACACCTTACTACTAGACTGTACTATAGATTCTTCAAAAAGAATTTCAAAAACAAAAAGAACTACAATTTTTTTGATTTGCATAAATTCATTAGCATATTATCAAATGATTAGTTCTATGACCTTGGGCACGTCATGTCAACTCTCTGGGCCTCTGTTTTATCATCTGTAAAAGAAAGGGTTTGAACAAGATGACTTCTCAGGCCTGTCAACCTATAAGCCTATAATCCTTTGATGATAAATCAAAATGGACAGGAAAGAAAAGATAAGGGAATGGGAGTTAAATCTTGGCTTAATTAAAAGGCTTTGGACATTGGGAACATTACTTACTGGCTGTATGAGGTGTCAACGGATTTAAAATAATCTATTCTAAGTGACAATGGGTAGGTTTGCAGCTCAGTGATTATTTTTTTTAGTCATGAAGAACATGAGAAGTGAATATAGATATTAAAGTAGACCATGGATTCTTCACGAATTTGTGTCACCCTTGCGCAGGGGCCATGCCAATCTTCTCTGTATAGTTCAATTTTACTACATGTGCTGCCGAATCAATCACTAAACCATGGATTCTTAACTTTTCTTTGTGCCTAAGATCCTTTAGGCAGTCTACAGAAGCCTCTGGACGCTCAAAATGATGTCTTTAAAATTCATAAAATTAAATATAAAGGACTGCAAAAGAAACTAATTAAATTGAAAATTATCAAAAGTAATCAAGACATTGAAAAATAAAATAATTCACTACCCCCAAGTTAAGGATTCCTAAAGTAGACCACTACAATTAAAAAATTTGTTTCATAAATTCTATGTATTTCCTATAATTTTTGGCTACCACCAAATTATTGACAACATAATTCTATACAGAGCATGACAGTGGGAAAGGGGCCAATTGAAATGAAAATCACATTGCATATTTTTTTTGGTATTTTTTCCCTAAATCTTTGATTTCATTATTAAACAGAATTCCCACTGAACCAACTCCCTCTTCCAATGAAGATTGGCAACTGTTCTGTAACACAGAGTCTTAGAGAATTGCCTAGGTCACTGAGAGATTAAATGTCCTGGACAGTGTCACAAAGTCAGTATGGGTCAGAGGCAAAATTGGACCCAGCTCCCCCTGACTCCACAACGAGCTCTCTATGTGATGTTACTAACTGTTCTCCTTCACCTCTTCCCCACCAGGCTGTGTGTGTGCGTGTGTGTGTGTGTGTGTGTGTGTGTGTGTGTGTATAAGTGTATGTATGAGAGTGTGTGCTTATGTGTAGGTGAGAGTATGTACATGTGTGTGTGTGCTTGTGTGTGTATAAGTGTGCAATTGTATTTATGAGAGTGTGTGCTTATGTGTATGTGAGAGTATGCGCATGTGTGTGTGTAATACTGTAGTAAATATGATATGCCTCCCTTAAAAGAACAGCAACATTTCTGAATGTTATAAAATCAAGTAACTGATCCTTAAGAGGAAAATGCGGGGCAAAATGTAATTGGTAGCAAGTAAACATTTAACTACATTAAAACAGGTCTTGGTTTTTGCCAGGCCTATCTGCAGACAGCAGATACATCGATCTGTTTACATTAAAACAACTTTAATTTCCCTATTTTTCTGAGAAAGACACATTGTTTCTGTAGTTACCTTTCAAGATTACATCAATCCAGAAGTCTTCCAGGGAAAGTATAAACTGAAATCAGATGCATTAGTGTATGAATTATACGTATACATAAGTGTGTATATAAGTGTGTGTGTGTGTGTGTGTGTATAGTGTGTGTATAAGTGTTATATATGTGTGCTGGTGTGTATGCATATATACATATATATGTATGTGTGTGCACACACACATACACACACACACAAATACACCATATTCACATTTTGGTTTTCACAATAGAAGAACAGCATGCCCTCTCTTCTAAAAGACTAATAAATTGAAGTCAAAGGAGAGAAGGGGAAGGTAGCCGTAGAAAGCCAAAGACAATCCCTCAAGGCAATGATGTCACAAAGGCAGTCTGTATTCAAAGGGAAAACACAATCCATCATCTCATCAATTATTTATGAAAACTGGAAAAACTGATTGACAATGAAATATATGATAATAAGGCCCTACTTAATTCATTAGAAATTTCTGTTAAAGAGAATGTTTCAGATGAAATCATAAATTATAGGTGTGTAAGTGTTCTTATTTCTGATATAGATTCAATTTTAGGCAGTGATGTTTTGAAAAAAAGAAAGAAAGACAGAAAGAAAGAAAGAAAAAGAAAGAAGGAAGGAAGGAAAGAAGGATGGAAAGAAGGAAGAAAGAAAGAGTAGAAAGAAAGAAAGAGTAGAAAGAAAGAAATGGAGGGAGAGAGGGAGAAGGAGGGAGGGGAAGGGGAGGGAGGAAAGAAAGAAGGAAGGAAAGAAGGAAGGGAAAGAGGGAGGGAGGAAGAGAAAAGGAAGGAAAGGAAAAGAAGGAAGAGAAGAAAGGTAGGTAGGAAGGAAGGAAAGAAAATATCAGATAGAGTAGTAATAACAACAACAACAATTAACATTTATATAGCATTTATTTATGTGCCAGGCACTATGCTAAGTATTTACAATTATTATCTCATTTGATCCTCATCACAATCCTGGGAGGTAGGGATTATTATTATCCCCATTTTACAGATGAAGCAACTGAGGCAAACAGAGGTTAAGTGAATTGCCCAGAGTCACACAGCTAATAAGTGTCTGAGTACCCAAAGAAAATAAAGACATCATTGCATGTATGCAGCGAACAACCTTCCTAGCTCAGAGATGGAAGAGACCTTAGAAGGAATGTTATAGGAAGAGTACTTATATTTGCAATCAGAAGATGCAGGTTTTCATCCTGGCTTTTGCATCTTCAATAGTTTTTCATCAAGTCATTCAACAAATGTTTACGAAGTTCACTATGTACACAGAATATTACATTAAGTACTTAGGGAGATAGAAAATTTAGTTGACAAGCTTCCTTCACTCTTTTAATTAATGAAGAAATAAAACACAAATAAAATATTATATCACATAATATTGAATTCTTAGGGCATTAGAGAACTGAGAAACAAATTACAGCATAAGTCTGGGTGAAAAGGGCATTTCCACCAAGGGAGATTTCGAGCTGAAAGGAACCTTGGAGATCATCTGGTTCTATGCCCTCATTTTATAGGTGAAGAATCTGAGGCTTAGGCTAACTGACTTGCCAAAGGTCTCACAGGTCCTAAGTGTCACAGGCAGAATTTGAACCCAGGTTCTGTGATTCCAAAACACAGTTGTCTTTCCACTGTGCAATGCCAGTCTCATAGAGAAGGAAGCTTTTGCTGATGAGTCAGAATTTAACAGGCAAATTTAGGGAGTGCTGGAACTTCAAGCAAAGGAATCAGCAAGGCACAGAGGTGAGAAGGCATAATATTCTAGGGGAAGAGAGTAGATGAGAATATAGAAGTCATGTGTAAGAATAATATGAGTTAAACACAGAAAGTTAGAATTGCACCAGACTGCAGAGAGTATTGGATGACAGGCTTTGAAATTTATTCAATTAGCAATAGGGATGGGGTAGCTAGGTGGTATAGTGGATAGTGCACAGGCTCTGGAGTCAGAAGGACCTGATTTCAAATATGGCCTCAGACACTTACTGTCTGTGTGACCCTGGGCAGGTCACTTAACCCAAATTGTATTAAAAAAATAAATAATAAGGGTGCAATGGAGATTTTTGAGCCTAGAAATGACACGACCAGATTTATGAACAAAGAAGATAATTCTGTCAGGAAAAATTGGAGAAGATAGAAAGTAGGGGCAGGAAAGTTATTCTAATAGCTAAATGACATAATGGATGAAAAAAAACTGGACTGGAATCAAGAAGAACTGAGCACCATTTCTGCCTCTGACTTACTGATTTTATAACTTTGGGAAGTCACTTTTGACCTTTCTGAGTCTCAGTTTCTTCATTTGTAAAATGGAGATGATAATAGCACCTACTTTATAGGGTTGTTGTGAGAAATAAAATGAGATCACATATAAATAACTTCACAAGACTTGAATAGTTGAAAAAAATGTTATCATGGTAGTATTATTAGTACAGATAGGTGGTAATAGGGGCCTGTAATAAGATTACCGGAATTGGAATGAATAGCAAGACATCCATATGAGAGGTTTCTTAGAAGTAGAATCAAGTAGACTTTGCCAATGTTATAAGAGCTCCCAGGGAAGATTCCAAAACATAACTAAAGTTCTGAAAATGGCACACTGGGTGAATGATGGTACCCAAAGAGAAACAGTACGGTTAGAAGGGAGAAGAGGCTTGGTGGAAGAGGGAAGCAGATGATAAATGTACTAGTTTTCCAATTTTGGCTGAAACACTTAACCTTACTGAGTCACAATTTCTTCATTTGTAAAATGGAAATAGAAATATTTATACTACCTACTTCAAAAGGGGTTTTTAGAAGAATCAAAGAAGTGTATGTGTGTGTGTGTGTGTGTGTGTGTGTGTGTGTGTGTGTGTAGCTATTGATAGTCTAAAACAACTTCTGATTTCCAAGTTGCAATGGGAGACAACTATTTCATTTAGAAAAGTAACTTAACCTCTCATGATACTTTCTAAGACTAAAAGTTGCAGAACCAATACCCATTTCCATTTGTAGAGGAAACTTCCTCACCAGGGATCACTTCTATTAATGAAATCATAGAACTAGTTAAAAAATAGAGAAAGAAAGAAAAGAAAAAAAATACTTTCAAAATTTGATTGGGATCTCTTATTTTCATTATTCTGTACCATGCATTCCAGCAGAGAGTGATTTAAGGAGAGTTATATTTGTGACTATGTAGCTAATTAGTTACAATAAGTAGATAGAGGACTGAGTCAATGATACCTACCAATATTCAATCTTTTTATGGGCTAGTTGGCTTTGCTCATTCCCTAACCACAGGGTGTTGTGCTCTTTATTGGATAAACTGACTGATGGAGTACTTTTTATTATTCTCAGTGGGAACAAGGTAAGATGTTTTACACAGTGTAGCACAGATCCTTCCCATCCACTGAAAAAGCATCTACAGGTCCTACTCATGAAGTGTCTGGATCATCATCTTGGTTTACGGGTAGCATTTTATATCACTATGTCAGAACCTATTTATTGACCTAGATAACTTTGGAGGAGAAGCTAGCACTATTCACAAGATTTCTCCTTTCACCTATGCTGTCATCCAGGAAGAATGTATACAACCCTTCCCAATGAGATGAGATCTCCCTAATAGCAAGTTCAACTTAAGACTCAATAGGTCCAGAGAGGATAGAGTACCTCATATGTAATCACGTATTAAAGGAAATATTCTTCTAGCCTCATCTAACCCCCGGGACTCCAAAAGCTTTTGCAAGTATTTCAGTAACTAGCTACATGACCTAGAGGTGCTCTTTAAGAAAGTGGGACACAGTGTGTGCTAAATCTAGACCTGACACTAATTCATTATGGTCTGCTGGTTGCTGCCTTATGGTGAATGGCCCAGGGGAACCCTGAACTCCTTACAGATGAAGAATGCAAGCCAATGAATTGCTGGATTCCCAGTGAAATAACAGA